GGAGAAGGTGCAGAGGTGGGAATTGAACCCACGACCTTCTGGCCTAAAGGCCAATGCTCTACCAACTGAGCTACTGTCGCCCATATAATAGACTAATATAGGGTAGACTAATATAATCAGTCTACCCTAGCATTTATTTATGAATAAATAAAGTAAATAAAGTTGGTATTTTGTTAAACAATGCTCTCCCATCCGTGCAGTTTTACATTTAGTTAATTCTGTTTTGTAAATTTGAAAAATATGAAGATACTGATACTTTCCCTACATTTAAATGTTTATTTATGTTAAGGGCACCGTGTGCAGTGTGCACTTCGTCGTGTGGACCCTTTGGGGGTACAAGTGCGCACAATACAGCTGGCTCCTGTCAGACGAAGACGATATTCTGTACCAGGACCATACCTGTCAACCTGCGTGGCTCTATGCCCTTACAAATTCCAGAATTTTACCATACAAATCAGTAAAAATTCTTACGCCTCAGAAAGGAATATGCCACACCCGAAAACCATGTTAATTGCATTGTAAATTTAACCCTTTAAGCATTAATCCGTAAAAATAACAAACAATAGTACTGTTACGTCCAGCTCAGCTAGGGAGTAAGAACGTAGCAAAAAACCAGATGGAATTGGCATTTGTCCATTTTAAAGTAAGTTTTTAATGATGACAGAAAATAAAATGAATTGGGAAACAAAGGAGGAATACAGAAATAATAATAATATTGATAATACAAAACGAAAGTCACTATACAAAACTAGAGCTCAAAATTACAAAGTGACAACGTAAGGGAACAGAACAATACAGGAGGAGCAGTGACGGCAGACTGGCACGGACAAGTCCAGCTGCCCCGAGCTGACGGCAAGTGGGAGGTTTTATGGGGACGCCCTCAGTGATGGATCCCCGGGGTTGGAAGACGTCCACGCTCTTGTCCCACTACAGCCACTCAGGTGTCAGACCGGCCACGCCCACACTTCAAGTCCCTCCAATAGATCTCCCGCACAGACACCTGTACAGAACACGAAGGCGCACACACAAACACAAAGGGCAACGGGAGCGCCATCTAGTGCACAACTGGCACAATAGGTCGTTGCCCGTAACACTCCCCCCCTTAAGAGCGAAACTACTCATTTTCAATAAACACGGTCAAGTAGCCAATTGGAACTACGGTAATAACCAGGGGGTACTATAGCGATGGACTGTCAAAACCTGGACAGGGCATCGGCCAACACATTTTCCACTCCTTTCTTGTGACGGATTTCGAGATGAAAGTCCTGCACCATCAGAGCCCACCTCATCAACCGCTGATTATGGTTAAACATGCGGGACAAAAAGACAAGAGGGTTATGGTCTGTAAAAACCAACACAGGCAAAGAACTCGACCCAACATATACCTCAAAATGCTGAAGAGCGAACAACAAAGACAACGTTTCCTTTTCAATGGTCGAATATGACAATTGGTGCTTATTAAATTTCTTTGAATAATAGCCAACTGGGTGGTCAACTCCAGCGGCATCTTCTTGAAGAAGAACAGCCCCGGCCCCTTCAGCACTGGCGTCTACCTCCAACTTGAATGGACGGGAACAATCAGGCGCTGCGAGGACAGGCGCATGGCTCAACAAAGCCTTTAGACTGGAGAACGCATGGTCACACTCCTGCGACCAAACAAAATCAACCTTGGGGCTGAGCAAACGAGTCAGTGGCAACGCAACGGTAGAAAAGTTCGGGCAAAAACTCCGATAATAACCGGCCATACCCAAGAACCGGCGGAGAGCGCGACGCGTAGTGGGGGACGGACAAGCAAGGATGGCAGCGACTTTCGCTTCAACAGGCCTTACTTGACCCTCGCCCACTTCTCGGCCCAGGTAGGTAACGGTGGCCCTCCCGAACTCACATTTGGCCAAATTCACCGTGAGAGAGGCCTGTGCAAGGCGTGAAAACACGTTAGTCAAAATAGACGTATGCTCCTCCCAAGTAGCTGAATGCAGAATTAAATCATCTAGATAAGCATTGCAGTTAGACAAGCCACTCAACACCGTATTAACAAGCCTTTGAAACGAGGCTGGGGCGTTGCGCATCCCAAACGCCATGACTGTATACTGCAGAAAATAATCCGGTGTTACAAAAGCAGAGATCTCCGAGGCACGCTTCGTGAGCGGCACTTGCCAATATCCTTTTAGCAAATCCAGTTTGGTTACAAATTTTGCAGTTCCTAGATTGTCTACACAATCCTCCATGCGAGGCATTGGGTAGGAATCTGGTTCTGTGACAGCGTTCACCTTTCTAAAATCGGTAATAAATCTGGGAGTCCCATCGGGTTTCTCCTCCACTAAGCATGGCGAACTCCATGCACTGGAGCTATGAATGGCAAGGCCGTGCTCTAGCAGGTATTCTGCCTCCTGCTTCATAAGCGCACGCTTAGCGGGATTCACCCTATAGTGATGTTGCCGGATGGGTTTTGCTCCTTTCACATCAATGTCATGTGTTAACGCGGTAGTTCGAGATGGTACATCACTAAATAAACAGGAAAAATCATGAACAATAGACAGTATGTCCTCTCTCTGAGTATTGCTCAAATGACCCAATTTCTCGGGCAGCTCGTTAACCATTTGAGAATTCGAGAGTCGCGCAACTTTAGCCTGCCGAGGAAAAACTGCATCTGGGACAGCCCGGTCAGTCTCTACTATCACCAGCGCTGCGGCACAAGTGGACGGGGACGCCACCGGTGGGTCAACACTGCGTTCATAATATTTCTTTAGCATGTTAACGTGACACACCCGGGACTTACGACGGCGATCAGGAGTACGGATGACAAAATTTGTGTCATTTATTTTCTCTTTTACCTCATACGGTCCAACAAACTTTGCAGACAACGCATTTCCCCTGAGAGGGAGCACGACAAGCACCTTCTCTCCCACCGAAAAATCACGTTTAACAGCCTTTTTATCAAAATGGACCTTCATACGTTTCTGGACTCCAGCAAGCGTAGACTTCGCCAGTTTATTCGCAGTCACCAACCGCTCATGAAAATGACTTACAAACTCGAGCACATTATGGGGCGCAGACGAAGGAGCCAGGAACTTCTCCTTTAAAGCTTTCAAAGGACCGCGGGGACTATGACCAAACACTAAGTCCGCCGGACTGAAGCCAAGAGACTCCTGTACCGCATCACGTGCCGCAAATAATACAAAGGGAATCCCCTCATCCCAAGTATTTCCCGTTTCCAAACAGTATTTCCTCAACATTGATTTTAACGTCTGATGCCACCGCTCGAGCGCACCCTGGGACTCTGGATGATACGCGCTGGAAACTACATGCTTTACATCCAGACTTCGGACTAATTCATTGAATAGCTTTGTTGAAAATTTGCCCCTTGATCTGACTGAACGACCCGGGGAAGACCAAACAAAGAGAAGAAGTTTGTTAACGCCTTTACTATGGAGCGGGACGTGCATTTACGTAGCGGAATGGCTTCAGGAAAGCGCGTCGCAGCACACATAATGGTGAGCAAAAAACTCATATCCACTCTTTGTTCGGGGCAGAGGGCCCACACAATCTATTATTACACGATCAAATGGTTGGTCTATGGCAGGGATAGGTTGCAAAGGCGCGGAAGGAATGGGCTGGTTTGGCTTTCCTGCTATCTGGCATACGTGGCAGGTGCGACAAAACTCAGCCACATCACGTTTCAATCCAGGCCAGAAGAATTGTTTTAAAATATGTGTATAAGTCTTAGTGACTCCTAAATGGCCAGCCCATTGGCTCTCATGTGCCACCGCCAAAATGGACCTCCGGTAAGAGTGAGGCACCACGATTTGAAACACTGCACTTAAATCACACCCAATTGAAGCAAGCGGGGACCATTTGCGCATAAGCAGACCATTGTCAAGGAAATAGTAATGTTGTACATCGTCCTTGGGTTGTTCACTACTCACCACTCCGGAGAATAATACGCGTAAGGTTGGATCGGACTTTTGCTCCATAAGCAGTCGTTCGCGAGAACAAGGCAACCTCAGCCCAGCGAGTTTCTCCGACATGACAGGTTCCGCAGGCGTTTTTGAGACAGCCTGTAGGTTCTGTTTGGACCCACTCAAATCTGTAACATTACATAAAAAAGTATCAGACAAGTCAACGTCCGGTGAACAGGCCCTGGCGCGCGTCATGACGCACACGGGCAGCTCAGGGGAACCCATCTCCGTGGAACTGCAACATGGGGAATCAACAATTTGCAGGGGAGGAAATACCGTTCCCCCTGCTAAATCATTTCCCATCAGCATATGCACACCTGGAATGGGCAACTCCTGGCACACCGCAATAGGGAAAACACCGGTAACAAGTTTGGATTTCACGTGCACATAATGTACGGGGTGCGGGCAGTAGCCCATCTCAATCCCTCTTAATACCGCATTATATCCACAGAAAGACTCTGATGAAAATGGAAGCGCACTGGCTAATATTACAGACTGAGCTCCCCCAGTGTCACGTAAAATGCGGATGGACTTCTGATCATGCAGGGCTCCCTTTACCGACACAAGGCCCTCAAGTATAAACGGCTTGAAACACGGATCTGCACTGTCGCTTACAACAGGTGTACTCTCCATGTTAATTACTCCGACACCATTAGCTTTAGTGGCAGAGTAATTGGATTTACGCTTAAGAGCCAAACAGTTAGAGATGACATGTCCAGGTTTGTGACAGTAAAAACACTCTCGTTGCTCTTTGTGAACGGGTGGCGTGTTGGCAGGCCTACGAATTGGCTCTGAGACAAAGGACCGGTTTTTCTCCGTACCAAATGTGGTCCTATGAGTCAGGGCGAATTCATCAGCCAACACCGCGGCCTCTTGTAACGTGGTAACTTTCTGTTCACTCAAATACATAACAACTCTCTCCGATAAATTATCTTTGAATTCCTCCAACAAAATTAATTCACGCAAATCACAAAATGAATTAATTTTTGATGAAGTGCACCATTTCTCAAATAAAGTGTGTTTCTCTCGGGCAAACTCTACATAGGTCTGGTTTGGGGCCTTCTTGAGGCCTCTGAAGCGCTGCCGGTAGGCCTCAGGGACCAGCTGATACGAACGTAAAATAGCAGCTTTAACAGACTCATATCTCATACTTTCCTCCAAAGACAGAGCAGCAGAAACTTCCTGTGCTTTCCCAGTTAACTTACACTGGAGCAATGTGGACCAAAGCTCAGGAGGACAATTTATAGCCTGGGCTATGCGTTCAAAAGCAGAAAAATAACTGTCAATTTCAGACTCACGAAAGTTTGGAAAAAGCGAAACATATTTACTCACATCAACAGGTTGGACCGGACTGTGGGCTGGCTCAACAGCAGCAACGACCCGGCTAGGGTTAAGAGGAAGACGGCCTTCTGCCTCCAGCTCGAGCCGCCGCATTTTCAGCGCAGTCTCGGCCTCGATCTCAAGTTTCTTGAGTCGGTATTGAAGTTCCATAGTCGCTTGCCGCTCCCTCTCCCTTTCCTCCGCTTCCTCGTCCAGGCGCTCCACAGGTACTCTGTGCCGCGTAGGAACCTGGGGGAAACGGGACGGGCTACCCAGCGAGTGGTCCCAAGAGAAGCGGGTCGGGTGATCAGGCCGGCCTCTACTCTCAGACACACCGGGTGGAGAAGATGACGTTGTCAGCCTCTCCTCTGCTTTGGGAGGGACGCGTGCTGTGGATGGACAAACTTCCGGGCCCAATACCAGAGAGGTTGCCTCGGGACGCTCCGAATGACCAGCAACGACCTCCACCTCAAGCCTAGGAACGTGCATGCCGCCATGCTCCACCAGCCAGGATGCAACAATATGTTTCAACTCTGCTTTCTTTAAGTTTTTGTCCACTTCAATTTGGCACAGGTCTGCAATATCAACTAACTCAGTTTTCTTAAATTTATTCAACTCCTCCTCTGTAGGATGTGATAAAAATCTGTCAAAGTCAGCCATATTAAAAGTTTGCACGGGAACACCTGAGAATATTGCGCACGACAATTCACTTATTAAATCTACCAAAATTTGGTACCTACTTCTTTTAAATGAACATGGGAAAAGGATTTTCCGATCCCGGACGAGCCCCCAATTTTGTTACGTCCAGCTCAGCTAGGGACGTAAGAACGTAGCAAAAAACCAGATGGAATTGGCATTTGTCCATTTTAAAGTAAGTTTTTAATGATGACAGAAAATAAAATGAATTGGGAAACAAAGGAGGAATACAGAAATAATAATAATATTGATAATACAAAACGAAAGTCACTATACAAAACTAGAGCTCAAAATTACAAAGTGACAACGTAAGGGAACAGAACAATACAGGAGGAGCAGTGACGGCAGACTGGCACGGACAAGTCCAGCTGCCCCGAGCTGACGGCAAGTGGGAGGTTTTATGGGGACGCCCTCAGTGATGGATCCCCGGGGTTGGAAGACGTCCACGCTCTTGTCCCACTACAGCCACTCAGGTGTCAGACCGGCCACGCCCACACTTCAAGTCCCTCCAATAGATCTCCCGCACAGATCTCCCCCAAAAAAATAGAGCCCACCGAGCCTGTCTAGTAAGTAAGCTTTATTTATATACCGCCTTTCACAGACCAGAGTCACAAAGCGGTTTACAATTGTTTTTTTTGTTTTTTTCTAGAGTTGAGCTTCTTTGCCGATTGGATATATGCAAGATTTGTATGATCTGTTCAGACAATAAAGGAGAGTTCAGTCCCTTCTAAATAATGTCTCCATTCTTCCAGAGCCATGTTTACAGCAAGAAGTTCTGTCACCAATGGAGTAGTTGCGTTTGGCAGGAGAAAGACGTTTAGAGAAAAAGGCACAGGGATGTAACTTTTGATCAGTTTGGGAACGTTGAGACAAAACTGCCCCAACGCCGATGTCTGAGGCATCCACTTCGACTAAAAACTGCAAAGAGGGAACAGGATGGAGCAGGACTGGTGATGAAGTACAAAGTTCTTTAAGTATTTTAAATGCCTGCTCAGCCTCAGGAGACCAAACAAAGGGGATCTTTGAGGACGTTAGGCGAGTTAGAGGTGAAGCTACTTGACTGTAATTGCGTATAAAGCGGCGATAGAAATTAGCAAACCCCAGGAATCTTTGTAACTGTTTCCTGTTGTCTGGGCCACTCTTCAACTGCACAAATCTTGGATGGATCTGGTTTTACCTGTCCTTTGCCAATGATGTAGCCGACAGATTGGACGTGAAACTCCCATTTCTCCGCTTTGACGAACAACTTGTTCTCCAAGAGTCTCTGGAGGACCTGGCAGACATGAACAACATGTTCCTCTGGAGAACGAGAGAATATCAGGATATCATCCAAATAAACAAACAAACAGATTCAAAAAGTCTGAGCACATCATTGACTAGAGCCTGAATAACTGCAGGGGCATTTGTTAAACCAAAAGGCATGACGAGATACTCAAAATGTCCCAACGGGGTGTTAAAAGCAATCTTCCATTCATCTCCCTCTCTAATACGGACCAAGTGGTAGGCATTTCTCAGGTCGAGTTTGGAAAACACTGTAGCACCATGTAGAGGTTGAAAAGCTGAGTTTTAGAGGTAGCGGATATTTATTCTTAACTGTAATGTTATTCAATCCACGATAGTCAATACACGGACGGAGCGTTTTATCTTTGTCGACAAAAAAGAACCCAGCACCGACAGGAGAGGAGGACGGACGTATGATACCTGCAGCAAGAGAATCAGTGATGTACCTCTCCATTGCCTCCCTCTCTGGCTTGGACAGATTATAGAGACGGCTTGAAGGCAATGTGGCACCAGGAAGAAGGTCGATAGCACAGTTGTAGGGTCTGTGTGGTGGGAGAGACAGGGCCCGTTCCTTGCTGAACACTTCCGCCAGGTCTTGGCATTCCGCAGGTACTTTGGAGAGATCTGGAGGCTCAGGCAAAGAGGAAACTGAACCAGCTGGAGAAGTGCAGATTGTAAACAAGTTGAGTAATAAAATAAATTCCAACTCACAATTTTCCCATTCGCCCAGTCAAAAGTGGGATTATGTTTCTTAAGCCACGGGTAGCCCAGAATGAGTGGAGAGTGTGGTGAGGTGATCAACTTAAATTGTATCCTTTCTTGATGATTACCAGACAGAACTAGTTTCAGAGGCGTAGTGTGGTGCGTTACCTTAGCGATTACCCGACCATCTAGAGCGTTAGCAACTAAAGGGGTCTCTAGCGGGAGAGTCTCAAAACCTGCCTGCTGAGCAAAATCACGATCTAAAAAGTTCTTTTCAGCTCCAGAATCCACCAAGGCAGTTAAAGGCAGGTTTAAATGATTAAAGCATATGGTGGCAGAAAGCAACATCTTGGTTTGAGGGACAGGCTGGAGTTAAACCGGCACAGCCCAACTGCATAGGTTCCACATCAGAATGTGCTGAAGTTGAGTGACCTGGAGATGCAGAAGGCACAGGAATCACAGGGTTACGAAAAATTGCATTGCGGGAAGTAGTATTAGAGGGGACATTTCTGTTTGAGCGTTCCCTTCGTCGCTCACGTAGGCGATTGTCCATTCTGATGGCGGCTGAAACGAGGGAGTCGAGATCTACAGAGTCCTCCTTCAGAGCTAGTTCATCCTTAAGCTGTTCTGAGAGTCCATTGATGAACACAGATTGAAGTGCTGAATCATCCCAGCCTGCCTCTGCCGCCAACGTTCTAAATTCCACAGAATACTCAGCAACACTGCGCCCACTTTGACTAAGGGTCAAGAGCCTCTTAGATGCCTCTACCCTTTACTGGGTGGTCAAAAACTTTACGTAATTCCTTACGGAAAAAAGGATCAGTCTGCCACTTCGCAGCTGCCCAGTCGAGTGCTTTACCTTGGAGCAAACCCATGACAAAAGCGACCTTGGAAGTGCTAGTAGCATAGGTTTCTGGCTAAACACAAGAGAGCATTGCAACAAGAACCCCCCATATTTGCCCATGTCACCTGAGTAGTGATCGGGATCAGGCACATGAACTTCTCTGGTTGGCTGAACAGGTAGAGGAGCTGGTTGCGCTGGAGATGGAGCTTCAGAAAGATTGGTTGACAGTTGCTGTAGCATGGCATTGAGTTCTCTTATCTGATTAGCGGTGGTTTGTTGGCTCTGGATTAGCGCTTGAAGGTGTTCATGCTGTCCAAGTACTGCACCTTGAATGGTGATTGCTCTGAGGACTCTGTCCGGGTGAGATTCCACTGGGTCTGAATCTGCTGAGTCCATAGTGGCCAGTTTGTTGGCCAGGCAAACAGGTAAGTTGAAGACAGGCAGGCAGGCAGGAACTGGATACAAAAACACTGAGGTAAGTACAAAAATGTTGAAAAATGCAAAACGAGAGCCAAACTATTACTGTCATGAGGGTCACAAACAAACTGGCAGAGTCCTGCTGGAAAGGCATTGCTTTTGAACTGTCTTGATTGAAGATTGCAGCCAGCTGTGCTGCCCTGCACTCTGGAGCTGCCACACCCAGGAAGGTGGAGACACACACAGACACACACACAGAGAGGGGAGGGGGAGAGGAGAACAGGACAAAAGGCTCTATGCCTTTTGTCCTGTTCTCCTGTTCTCCTGCTTCAAAGTGTGACAGTTTGAAGCCTGAAATGTTGAAAGGTTCAAGGGGGCCTAATACTTTCGCAAGGCACTGTATCTGCTCAAGTGCCTTGTCCATGTTCCCGCCAGCCGCTCCATGCTTTTCCCAGAAAGTAATTGCACACGGACCAATCACAGCGGAGCTTCTCTGCGGCCCTGGCTATCTAGTTAGACATTTTTTAGGGTGCGCGGCAGGCTACGCAATGCGGCGATCCTTGCATTGCGCAAGTGACGTCACGTCACCACCGTAAGCTCAGCACGACTATACACTAGGCTTGCGATCTCTTCTGGTCATCTAACATTTTGTTTTGTTTCAGCAGCAGCACAGACCAGCACAGTTCAAAGGAGACACCTGGTCCATCCTGTAGATTGTGCGTAAAAGACCAAAATATTTCTAAATTTATTTTTTACTTGAGTTAGACATTACAACACTCTTGTCACCTGCATTACCGCCTCCAGTTGAACATAACATTTAACAGCTTTATTGTAATCTACTGTTGCATACGGTCCGTATTTCTCTGGGAATTGGGTTCACTTAAAACTATTTAAATGAAATGAAGGGTATCACAGTGAAACTACACATTAAAACTGGAAGCAGTCTTGTGTTCATGAAGGCCAGGACAGTGCCGTATGCAATCCGTGATAAAGTTGAGGCAGATTTGGACTCTTTAGTGAAAAGTGGAGTTATTGAGCCTGTTACAACCAGTGAGTGGGCCACGCCAATAGTGCCAGTTCCTAAAAAGAATGGGGGAATACGCACATGTGGGGATTTTAAAGTAACGTTGAATCTAGTCCTCACGGCAGAGCAGTACCCCCTGCCTTTGATTGAGGATTTGTTTGCAGGGCTGAGTGGAGGTCAAAAGTTCAGTAAGATTGACCTTAATCAGGCATACCTACAAATGCATGTAAATTAAGAGTCACGTGAGTTTTTGACCATTAATAGACACAAGGTACTTTTCCGATATTGTAGGTTACCTTTTGGGATAACTTCAGCCCCGGCAATATTTCAACGGGCTATGGATCAGATCCTAAGCGGACTGCAGGGTGTTCAGTGTTATTTGGATGACATTCTCTGTACAGGATCGAATGATGAGGAGCATCTTCACAACCTAGATGCCACACTAAAAAGGCTGAGAGAATATGGCCTCAGAGTACGCAAAGAAAAATGTGAGTTTATGCGATCTTCTGTAGAGTATCTCGGACA